AGCGAGCTCTTCTAACGAAGAACATCTTCACCACCTCGATGCACTCTTCCAACGCTTGAGGCAATATGGGGTTACCGTCAACCCCGATAAATGCGAGCTTGGCCAAAGTTCCATCGACTTTCTTGGCCACCGCATTTCCGCCTATGGTATCGAAGTGCTGCCAGACAAAATTCAGGCAATGAAGGACTATCCTGCTCCCAGTTCCTTCAAACAGTTACGCCGATTCCTTGGCCTGGTTAACTATTATCGACGCTTTATTCCTAACTGCGCGAGCACTGTTCAACCAATGACTGACTTGCTCCGCGGTAAACAACGGTCTTTTCATTTTACAGACGACGCTAGACTGTCTTTTGACAAGCTCAAAGACGCTATCTCCAACATAGCGCTTCGCGCCCATCCAGACACGCCTGCACCACTCTCCCTGACAACTGACGCATCCGACACTGCCCTCGGTGCAGTTCTTCAACAACTCATCGACCATCGATGGATACCTCTAGGGTTCTTCTCGAAACGCTTACAACCTGCCAAATCGCGTTACAGCACCTTCGGTAGGGAACTGTTAGCTATCTACCTAGGTACCCGACATTTCCGTCCCTATCTAGAAGGTCGACGTTTTACAGTCTTCACTGACCACAAGCCATTGATCTACGCAATCAATGGCGCAGCAGACAAGTATTCTCCGCGGGAAACTAGACACCTAGACCACGTTTCTCTAGTTACGACAGACGTACGACATGTCTCAGGTGCTCTCAAGCCCGTCGCTGATGCGCTTTCACGCATTCAGCCGATCAGCTTATCGCCTGGCACCAATATTGATCTAGCCGCTATGGCTGCTGCCCAACAAGCTGATCCCGACATGGGCAAGCTACGACGCAACACCACTGAGACGATCACCATTGATCGGCTCAAGCCAGCATTCCTCGACAAGTCTGGTTCTTCGATGCAACAAGCACCTTCACAGTCTGTGTCATCACAGCTCGCACCGCAACCCCAAACCAGTCAGTCCGGTTCATCAGAACCGAGAACCCCAACCGACAGCATTCCTACTCGCCCTACTATCAATCGACGCGGGAGGAAGCTCAAGCCCCCATTTCGTTTTTCGGACTTCGTTAGCAATTACTCTTTTACATAGAACGTGCCTCTGAAATTTTCTCCTCTTACCGAACGTCTTTGCAAATTCACATAAAAAGTTCAAAACATTTTGAAAACCCAAAAACAGCTTTGCACGTTTTTCGCTTTGCACTGTTTTGTGTATGGCTAAGCAAGTATGCTGCTTTCTCGTTTTGCTTTCCATATACACCCTCGGTTGGTTGCACCTCGGTTGCACTTCTCACTGGATCCCCGCACGTCAAATGGAAGTGGAACAACCTTCCTGCTCATCCGCATTCGGGAACTTTACTAACTGTCCCCCCACAAACAGCTTTTTTGCCGTTTCGACACCGTAGGGAGGACACGGGTTGGAGCCCGCTAGGGTCCGATTGCATGGTTCTCCCCCAGCAGCTGCATCAGGTTTCACAACCTGGTCTCGCAGAAGGCTGGCCCGCGACGGACAGTCCTCAAGTAGATCGACGGACTGCTTACACAGTCCCTTCTGGGAGAGGGCTATGTAGCATTCTGGAGATTCTCCGGTTTGCCTGTGTAAAATTCTAACTAAAATTGTTTCATTGTACACCTAGGCAACCGGTGTGGTGTGTTGAACTGATTGCTGAGTTCGAATGCTTGACTTGCTCATCGCCATTTTTGCTTGGCGCTCGCTTCGGTTGCAACTCGCAACTGCCCAGTGCGCTGTGCTTGCTCCGTTCCCCTAGCTAGAGCGTCCACGGTGTCGTTCATTTATAGCTCGATAACAGGGAATCTTTGACTATACCAACAAAAGTTTCGCTGCAACTCGATCTGTTTTCTTGAATCGCTTTCTGGGCTCCTGGTACAAGCGACCCTCTAAACCATGCTTCCTTATCTGGCCTTGAAACGAACACGCTTTTTGAGAGGTTTGCGAGCAAATAGGTGGTCTTTTTTCAGCAAATACCTGAGTTTAGGTTTGTACTTCAGATATTGGTACAAACTATTTACCAGAGTAGACTTAAAATACTCAGAAGCTAATGCTGACAATTAAAAATCGAATTTTAGGCAAACCAATTTTCAAAATGCACTTCCAATTCTAATTGTCTTTAATAACTGCGAAGACAACAAATCTGTATACCAAGTGAGAACACGTAAAGCAATATCTTCTCCAAGTGCAACGACTTAAATTATGAAATTACATTTCCGGGTCAAAGTGGAATAAAATGCTTGCCTTACTTGTGCAAACCTGTCGCCGCAATGAGGCTAAGCGTTTCTCTTTTCGCTTTGTGACTATTCATTGGAAAGTTAGCGAACTCTTCGCGCTTTACTACGTCTAGTTTGTTCAATGTAACAGAATATGCCCATCGGGTAAATTCTAAATCACCACCCTCGTTCAACGTACGCCGTTGCAACACCACATTAGTTGGATTAATCCGAGATCTACGGGATAGCTTCTTAAAGCCTTTAGGATATTCCCAAAGCGAAACACGTTCATCAAATAACCGCATTGTCACCTTCGCTAATGCAAGTTTTGTGCAGAACTTATCATACTGATTAAGCCCTTTGAGCACAACAGGTTCCTTGGATTGTTGCAAGTGAAAATATATCCCAAGCGTGGAAATCAGCACAACAAGTTAGAGAACAAGCTCCATATCAGTGACTCTGGTCAGGTTAATACTTCACAACCACCCCTTTAACCTGAAACCCACGGTCCATTAATTTGACATTTTTCATGTCTGCCGTCTCCTAGGCCTACCGCGGGCTATATAAAGTACGCGCGGAAGAGGCATGCCCTGATAATAATGTAACCGGTTAAAATCATCTGCGCGGAAAGAGCTTGATAAATAAACAGAAACAAGTTAACCGCTAACGAAAAACTAATTGTATTAATCGTTTAAAGTAAGAAAATGTCCAGGGTTTAGGCAGGTTAGTCATTGTGCCGGTTATAGTGGTTCGCTGTCCCCGGTAGCACATGTCCAAATCCTGTACAGATTAGCCTCCTTAAAGTTCCTATTAGAGCATCACTCTAAACTGGACAGGATCTTGTACCATTAGGCGGATAAAGAGGGATTTTGTCCAGTTTACGGCGGACCAATAAAAATACTGCTAGCGTTGAGTAATAGCAATTCACCCCTATGCGTGGCGATCCGGTAGGTCCAGAAACCTTGTTTGTCTTCCATGGATATCCGAATACGGACATCACACTGCTGTGCACTTAATACTTAAGGAATATATTGACGGTTCGAACCTAAGGTTGTCGTAGTTGCTGGACCTTGGAACACATCTAGGCTGCGCTTCAAGCTGATGGTCAGAAAACGAAATGGAGCATACCGCGCGCATGAGAACATCATAAGGCGAAAGGAAGTGGGAACCGGGGTATAAGAGTGCTCTGTGTACATGAAGGGGTGGTACAATAATCTTTAGGAGCAGAAAGCGGCATTGTCAAGTTAGTTGATCCGTTTTGGCGATGAACAACGTAAGAGGCTAAAGATGTTCGTCATGAAGCAGTGGGCTCGCCTCGTTCGCAGTGCCTACTTTACTTTGCTCAACAGAAGGTCTCTTGTGCTGTGCAGTATGCAACCACGTTTTGATGTGGCGGGTAAGGTCGGCATCCAAGTCTGCATCACACATGCGTCGCCGAATGATATCTTTGTAGTTTTAATGGATTACTGTACGTCATCCTACCTTGTACAATGCCGTTCATATTTGTTCGCTTGTTCGTATGCAGGAGTTCCGTGCAGTCCGCAACAGCGTCCGGTAATCCTGTGGTAAAAATGACATGCACGGTTGCGCAAGCCACGACAGTAGACGAACAAAAGACGCTGATACCTGAGGTTTTGCAATAAGTTTTTCAAGTTGTGGACCGCCTCATCGGGGTCCCTGCCATCTTCACAGCAGTTGGTGACGTTATCGGATGGCTGCACTGTGTGAGCAACCACAAGTAATATATGTTACAAATCTTCCTAACCTTTTGTCACTTACCTGCTAACAGAAGCTCTTCTTCGTAGATAAATCCTGATGTCATTCTTTTGCTGCAAGGTAAATGGTGATACGAGCGGAAACAATGCAGTTACTTGATAACTTTTCGACGTGACATGCTGAAAATGAATACATATGTTTCAAACAAGCCATAACTGGAAAACCTAGTAGGTGTGCCTAAAGAAACGCAGAAGCTAAAGAGTAGCGCAAAACCAAGAGGCAGCAGCGATCAAATTTAGAAAACCGAAACTGCAAATAATATGACCAACCCATGCATGTAAAACACACGTGATATGGTCAAATGATAGCACTTAGAAAACACACCAATCATTTATTTATTAAAATGTCAACCTAAATGCGGTTGGCTTCAAGTAACGCATTAATACTTGAACCGGAATGCTGTCCAGTTTCTGTCCAGTTTGCTACGTTTACTGTCACGATTGTGCTACCTGGGATGGTTTGACGCAAGGCTGTTCCCATAAAGCCCTGAAACATGATAAGTAACTGCATTCGGTAGTATATAAACGGTAAGGTAAGCAAGGATTTACATTTGAATCGCACCAGACAAGTTGCAGATAACACAGCTGAATTTTGTTTGTTTACCGGGCTCGTCTAGCGCGGTCTTCTGATGATGTGCACGCGATACGGGTTCGCATCCTTCGCATGTGGCGGAAGTTTCAAATTAAGTTAAGCTGCAATACTACATATGAAATGTATAAAGTTATTCCTCATTGTTTAATATCGTTGGCATGAAGTGTCGAAGCATGTTGTATAACGCCGGTACAATGATCCAATGTACCGGTTATCTTCTGCCTGCAGGAAATATTTCGCCGGTGGATAAATGTCCTGCATGAATATGGAACGAGTAGTGTTAATGCTCAATTATAACTTTAACTCTAACTGTAACCATTAGCACATAATTTTCTTCATTGTCAGAAAATAAATAGGATTCAGTGTTTTGTATAGAGTTCTTTCTCGCCACTTGTCATTTTCCGAAATCATGGATTTTTACACATGCGAATCTGACACTCCGTGGACTTGTACTCCTTGCTGTTCGTGATGGCTCTTGCTAAAATTATAAAACCCGATAATAAACCCATTACTCCTTTGGAAGAAGAAATTGCACAGGTATTCTCTTTCCTACAGCTTGATATGAGATATTAGGCGATCACTGAACTTCAGGTGCATGATGAGTGGTCGGACGCCATGAAGCTTCTGTACTTCTGCGAGGCTAAGGTTTGTCTCATTACTATTCTTAAGTTTTTTCAGGAAATAGTGGTAGGTAGGGAAAAAGCCATAGTTATTTACGTGCCCGTTCCTCAACTTCGCACGTATCAAATGATCCACAACCGTTTGGTTGGTGAGTTGGAGAAGAAGCTACGTGGTCCGCACGTAGTGCTGGTTGCTTTTCGCCGAATATTACCGAAGCCAAGGCGGAAATCAAAGTTTAACCCGAAGCAGAAGCGGCCACGCAGCAGGACTCTGACAGCAGTACACGACGCTATTTTAAAGGACCTAGTGTATCCTGCCGAGATTGTTGGTAAACGCATACAAGTAAGAATTGATGGAAGCACCATAACGAAGTGCCATTTGGATGTCGCTCAACGGAATTACATAGAGCACAAGGTATGTCCTATCAGCATTAGTGACGTTTAGTTAAAAACAATAACGGGTCTATATAAGAAACTAACAGGCAAGGATGTACAAATCGAGTTTCCCGATTGGGTTCTGTGAGCAAACCATTGTTTCGAATGAATGGATGAATTTTCACGTCGACTTCGATTGTTTTTGTTCTACTCGGTGGGATTGAATGCTTCGGTGCATTGCGTTGTTTCACTGTTTCGTATCTTAGGCGGCACTCCCTGCGGTTACACAAATTTGTTGCCACGAACTCTGCTATATATTTATGTATGTTGGTTTATTAATCGTGGCGTTCGTGTTCGCGCTGTTGGGCTACGAATTTAAGGCTATTTTCAAATAATAATTCCAGCTTGGTCGCATTTTTATGTAACTGGGATGTTTTGCGCGTGGCATAACCATTTCTGCCATTAGCTTATTTCCCTTCTTCCGCACCTTCCTCTAAGTTGACTTACTAGTTCCTACATATCGCAGTTTGGGAGAAAATTGTATCACGAATGTTGTTGGTTTGATCGTCTGGCATGTGGAGCTATCCGCGTACAAGCTCTTAATATCCGAGTAACGTGTTGTAGACGATGGCTTAGGTAATAAGACTCGGGGTGTCTTGGGTACTGGCCACTTGAGCGATCGTTGTAAGGTGTTGAGCTTTTTATGTTCTTATTGGTCGATCTGAATCGCTCATTTATTTTTTGTCCATGTGACTCCAAAACAACTTTTGAAATTGACTAGCGTGCTGCGTGTGGACAGACTTCCGGACATAGTGACGAAATCACATTATGTACTTCAACTCCTAATAGCCGGCTACTCGTTCTGCACTAATCGGACGTCATCGTTGGACAGTATAAAGCAGAAATAGAGTTCTTTGTTCGCTCCTCACTTCCCGATCATTGCGTGGAAGCCACGAATCGTTGCGAAACGATACTTCACTTGTAGCCGTAACTGCTGCGCTGAAAGCAGTAAGGTCCCCGCTTACTCAGCAGGTGCGAATCCTAAACTCGTCTGGAACATTCCTCAACGTGAGGCTCCGAAACTGGTACCAGGTCTCAAATGCTTTGATTAAACACAACAGCTTCACTACCTGACCCTCTACTCCTTGAAATACCGAAGCCTCCGCGGAGAAACGCAAAGCGTTAACGCGCCTTGTATTCAAGCTCAAGAGTAGTAATGTCAGGTTTCAGCCGGACCTTTCACTGGCAGATCGACTGTTAAAGGAAGCCATCAAAAGCCTCAAGAGCAGGCGGGAGGTTGGTGAGCAAGGCCTTCGTCTTGTCGGTTTTCAGGTGGTCAACAGGAAGTCATTCTGCCCTACCAGAACCCAGGGCTGGTCGTGCCGAGTTCCTTCGGGTAGCACTTAGTAATGTGCGTAGCCTAAAGAACAAGGTACACGAGGTGGGTCTACTTGTAGACAAATCTCTTCCCGACATGCTATCACCGAAACATGGTTGTCCCCGGATATCACGGAGAGTGCAGTATGTTTACCTGGCTGCACACTGCTTAGATGTGATCGTTCCTTTGGCCACCAAGGTGCGGGCGTCGCTCTTTATGTGAGTTGTAAACTTAGTGTGTTGAGGACCCGTGTTTTCCAGTCGCCGGATCAAACTGTTGAAGCCCTGTCGACTATTGTGTGCACTTCCTCTGCTCAGATTACAGTTGTAGTGGTATATCGAAGTCCTGGAAGTATCTCCAGGGAGGTTACTGAATTTATTCTTGCTCAGGCTGCCAATAGGTGTCTAATACTGGGTGACTTCAACCTCCCTGAATTCTGCTGGGTTGATCTATCTTGCAGTTCGGCGATGGGCACTTTCAGTTCGGATCTCCTCGAGCTAACATTGCAACTGCCTTTGCATCAGTTCATGGACATCCCGACTAGATATATGCACAACCAAATTCAGTTTACCTTGGATCTCATTTCTGCGAAGTCACACGATTTCGTACGTGATATTACCTACGGCTGTCCTCTAGGAGCCAGTGACCATGTCTTCATATCCTTTCGATGTGCTCTAAGTGTCATCAACCTACCGCTGAGGCATGTCCAAATATTTCGCGGGTAGACTTTAACGCAATGTGAGACAAAGCTTCAGTTCCGCGTTGTGCGATCACCGTGGCTGACACCGTTGAGACAGCCTGGGAGAAATTTAAGGCATACCTCACCGAGATCTCTGCTCCCCACATCCCACTCATTGAGAGACGGGTGACGGGCGCATCCTCATTGGATAGATCATACAGGTAATTACCTGCTCAGGAAGCGCTCTAAGTGCTGGCGAACTTACCAAGCGGCTTCACCAACCAGCACCTACGAAAGCTATCGAACGGTTAGAAATAAATCTAAGCAACATCTTAGAACTCTTCGTCTTCAGTACGAGGAGGATTTGGCTAACAGCCGTAACGAATCCAAAGTTCTTTACTTACGTAAAGAGACGCAGCGGTACAAACTCGTCTATACCGGCTTTACTACGAGCGGACGGGACCCATGGCTTGTGTACTTAGCGAACAGTATACTGGTGTCTTTCCTGTTGAGGCCTCTCTACCTCATGTTGAGCTGGTCACAAAAGTCTCTTAGGATCCTTGCTTAACTGAAATCAGCATAACTGAGATACAAGTCTTCGGGCTCTTGCAAGCACTAAATCCTTCCAAAGCTTCTGGCCCTGATTACATTCATCCGAAACTGATGCATGAATTGGCTGCTAAGCTAAGCGGCCCTCTGACATGCATATTTACAATATCACTCGACACCTTTGCCTTCGGAATGGAAGAAGGCAATCACCTATCCGATTTTATGGGCGGTGACAGAGCTCTACTCGCGAACTACCGGCCTGTCAACTTAACAAGCGTAATAGTTTTTTGCAAAATTGGTCAGGGATTCGGTGTAGAATCACCTGATTAAGTTTAACCTTCTCAGTGCGGCACAGCACAGATTCCGTAGGGATTTTCATGTCTTTGTAGCTCGTGAAAGCTGGGCTGAGGCAGTAGACAACGGTCACGCTATCGACGTGCTTTTCGTTGACTTCTCGAAAGCCTTTGATACTGTCCCACAACAACGACTCATTGAAGTTGAGATCGTATGGGATATCTGGAGCCGCCCTTAAATGGGTGTCTGCTTTCCTAGAGGGCAGAGAACAGTGTGTACGCGTGGGGCGTAACCTTTCACTTAGACAAGCTGTTCTTAGTGTTGTTCCGCAAGGCTCGGTTCTAAGTCCGCTGCTTATCGCAATTTCTGTCAATGACCTACCCCAGGAGCTTGAAGTACCGTCGCTATTGTTTGCTGATGACCTCAAGGTCTGGAATATTGTGGATATCCCTGGTGGCTCTGAGGCACTTCAGATTGCTTTGGACAGACTCTGCGATTGGTCAACCTTATGGTTGATGCCTATAAATCCGGCGAAATGTTCTGTCCTCCGCATTGGAGGTAGTCCTCCCACGCGCTATGTAGTTGGTGAAAGTGAACTTCCTGTTGTCACTCAGCAGCTTGATCTAGTTATCACGTACACCTCATTGCTTCACTCTGGGGATAATTAGAGGAAGGCTGCTTGTAGAGGGTTCCGTATGATGTGGTTTATTCGCCGCTCCTTCGGTGTCCTAACGGCCAATATTTTTGTGAAGCTGTTCTCAGCTTTTGTGCGACCCTACTTAGAATACCGTATCCAGGCTTGTCCATCTTGTCTTGTAAGGGACAAAATGGAACTGGAGAAGGTTTTGAGAGTGGGTGCAAGGTTATTGCAAGGATTACGGGGGCAAACTTATTCAGAACGTTTGCTTAGTTTGGGTATGTACCCAATGCACTACCGCAGAATTAGAGGAGACTTAATCCTCACTTACTGTGTCTTAACGGGTAAGATCGGTCCAGACTTGTCCTGGCTATTTAGGCCCACCAAGCTGCCTAGTCTCCGAGATCACCCGTTGAAGCTGCACAAACTGCGTTCTGACCGGGTGAGGACGGAAACTCTTGTCTCGCCGGGTTATTGAAGGTTGAAACTCGCTTCCGGAGCACGTCGTTAGGAAGTCTACGGTAGAGGGTTTCGAGCGTCGGTTAAATGCTCTTGGGTGGCAGTACCAAACCTTCCACTTCTTCTAACCGACTTGTATCTACAACTTTCCCCTATTTTTAATTTCTTCTCACACCTTAGTATTATCATTATTTAGCTGACGTTCCTCTTGTTTTCTTAGCTTACCCTTCACTCTTTTAATTCACATAAACCTGCCTGGCAGGGACTACTGGGCAGGAAAATGTGCGCAGTAATTGGTTGTAGAGGGTGTGATGCGGTCTCTGTTTTAGGCTTTTCAACATCTCAAGCAGGCCTATAAATCCCGCTCCGACGGTACGCAAAAGAAGGAACATTCGCGGGATTATCCTACCGTTCCGGTCCCAACTGAACTTGACTTGGTCCTTGTATTTATGGTCTTATCCAACCCTGGACACCCCTGCTGCCATCTACTCATACTACATCAGTCGTATTCCCATTGAGGCTCGCTCATCAGCAGGAGGCTGAGCTGCAGGCGACACTTCTTAGCTTTGCGAATCTGCCGACCTAGTCTCGGCAGCTACTGCGACTGATTTTAAAACCTGCCTGGACTCATCTTGCCGAGCTGCAATGCGATCTTTCCTGAGACAACTGTCTCCTCTCCTTTTTATATTCCGTACTAGGCCCAGTCAACTTCCAACTGCCTTCCACCCGACGTAGCAGCTTGTTCCTCAACTCTCAACATTTCCGATATTTACCTTGACGAAGTTTCTTCTCTTTTATTTCTCCCCTATCTAATTCCTTTCGATATCCTTTTTGGAGGTCGTGGTGGGATGCTATCTTTTGAGCCGGCGTACATGCCACAAGGCCTGTGTAGATACGGCTAATACGCGAGTTTAACCGGCTATAAGGTTGTTTGGCCTTTCCTCAGACCCGAACATAACTTTTTTGCCGTATGGGACAGCCCCTAACCTCGAGCACAGATTGTACGTCTGCATTGGCGGCACACTTTGCCTCCGTATTTGCAAG